TGGGTTTTTATTTATATGAGGCTTTGGCAAACTCATAAGATTTTAACATTACAAAATGCTGTGTAATGGCGGGCAAACCAAAAAAAATATTATATATATGTGGCTTTAAAATGTAAAAATAAAACTTAGAGTATTGGAGATCGAAGATATCAAATTCGAAAATGGAAATCGAATTATAACTTTAAAATCTATAATTGTCTCTTATTAATGATTCGGAAATAGAAAAAACTTGGTTATGTTATTATTCTTCGTTGGTTCGTTTAATGGAAAACACTTTGCTACAAGAAATAATGGAAATTTTATAACGAATTTAATAAAATGTTTTTATCATTATATATAAAGAATTAATGGCAAGAAAAAGTTATATACAACCTCAACTCATATGGGAGCATATTAATTAGGGGAGGAAAAGAAACTAACAAGGATTTTCTTAGTAGCGGCGAGCGAAAAGAAAACAGTTTAGCACTAAGTCACTTTGTCTATATGGCAAATGTGAGATGCAGTGTATGGAGCGTCAATATTCTAGTATGAGAAATTAACGATTTAATTAACGTATAAAGTTAATGATTCTAGATGATATTTCCAAAGAGTCGTGTTGCTTGAAAGTGCAGCACTAAGTGGGTGGTAAACTCCATCTAAAACTAAATATAGCCATGAGACCGATAGTAAAGAAGTACCGTGAGGGAAAGTTGAAGAGAACTCTGAATAGATAGTTAAACAGTACGTGAAACTGCTTAGAGGTTAAGCCCGATGAACCTGAATACGATGAATATATGATGAATATGGAAAATTCATCAATAAAATTGTAATATTTAAATATATTATGAGGATAGTGTGCATTTTTTCCATATAAGGACACTGTAATCTATTAGCATATACCAAATGATTAGCATTGATTTTTGTGTTTATTATATGCACTTGTATGATTAACAATGCGAAAGATTCAGGATACATTCGGGACCCGTCTTGAAACACGGACCAAGGAGTCTAACATATGTGCAAGTTATTGGGATATAAACCTAATAGCGTAATTAACTTGACTAATAATGGGATTAGTTTTCTAACTATTTATAGCTAATTAACACAATCCCGGGGCGTTCTATATAGTTATGTATAATGTATATTTATATTATTTATGCCTCTAACTGGAACGTACCTTGAGCATATATGCTGTGACCCGAAAGATGGTGAACTATACTTGATCAGGTTGAAGTCACGGGAAACCCTGATGGAAGACCGAAACAGTTCTGACGTGCAAATCGATTGTCAGAATTGAGTATAGGGGCGAAAGACCAATCGAACCATCTAGTAGCTGGTTCCTTCCGAAGTTTTCCTCAGGATAGCTGGTGCATTTTAATATTATATAAAATAATCTTATCTGGTAAAGCGAATGATTAGAGGCCTTAGGGTCGAAACGATCTTAACCTATTCTCAAACTTTAAATGGGTAAGAACCTTAACTTTCTTGATATGAAGTTCAAGGTTATGATATAATGTGCCCAGTGGGCCACTTTTGGTAAGCAGAACTGGCGCTGTGGGATGAACCAAACGTAATGTTACGGTGCCCAAATTAACAACTCATGCAGATACCATGAAAGGCGTTGGTTGCTTAAAACAGCAGGACGGTGATCATGGAAGTCGAAATCCGCTAAGGAGTGTGTAACAAATCACCTGCCGAAGCAACTAGCCCTTAAAATGGTTGGCGCTTAAGTTGTATACCTATACATTACCGCTAAATTAGATGGTTTATATTACTTGTGATATAAATTTTGAAACTTTAGTGAGTAGGAAGGTACAATGGTAGGCGTATAAGTGTTTGGCGTAAGCCTGCATGGAGCTGCCATTGGTACAGATCTTGGTGGTAGTAGCAAATAATCGAATGAGACCTTGGAGGACTGAAGTGGAGAAGGGTAAAACAAAAATGGCAAATTATATAAACAAAGCGAAAATAATACACTTGAATAATTTTGAACGAAAGGGAATATGGTTCCAATTCCGTAACCTGTTGAGTATCCGTTTGTTATTAAATATGGGCCTCGTGCTCATCCTGGCAACAGGAACGACCATAAAGAAGCCGTCGAGAGATATCGGAAGAGTTTTCTTTTCTGTTTTATAGCCGTACTACCATGGAAGTCTTTCGCAGAGAGATATGGAAGATGGGCTAGAAGAGCATGACATATACTGTTGTGTCGATATTTTCTCCTCGGACCTTGAAAATTTATGGTGGGGACACGCAAACTTCTCAACAGGCCGTACCAATATCCGCAGCTGGTCTCCAAGGTGAAGAGTCTATGTCGATAGAATAAAGTAGGTAAGGGAAGTCGGCAAATTAGTTACTTCTTCCCCGGATAGTTTAGTTACGTAGCCAATTGTGGAGCTTTCTTGCTAAAATTTGTAAGAATACTATTTGGGTTAAACCAATTAGTTCTTATTAATTATAACGATTATCAATTAACAATCAATTCGGAACTGGCACGGACTCCGACTGTCTAATTAAAACAAAGCATTGTGATGGCATTGTGATAGCGGGTGTTGACACAATATGATTTCTGCCCTGAATGTCAAAGTGAAGAAATTCAAGTAAGCGCGGGTCAACGGCTGGAGTAACTATGACTCTCTTAAGGTAGCCAAATGCCTCGTCATCTAATTAGTGACGCGCATGAATGGATTAACGAGATTCCTACTGTCCCTATCTACTTACTGTAAGTGGTGGACGTGTTTTCTACGAGCTCCCATTAATACGGGTATTTTTGGTGTAAATCGAATGTCCTCCTGCCATAGACTGATCCTGCTTGGATGTCTATCGGTATGCTGAACAGTGTCCACCGCGGCACTGCAGGTTCTTGCTGGAGCCCCCCCCCCCCCCCCCCCCCCCGCTTGACTTGGCCGCTAAGAAATTAGCGGTCAAATACAAGTTGAAGCGTGGATACCCGCTCCCGGACGTCAACCTTGTCTATCGGGATCCAAATTTTGGTTTCTCGATGATGGCTTGTCGTAGGAGGCGACTAATGCGGCAATAGGTCACTCCGCCCGTGCTTGTCGGCTAGGTAGATCTCGCTCCTCAGCAAGGGGGAGTGCTTGCCCGGCAAGCAAGCACTCGAATTGCTACCGGGGTGGTTGCTATGTACTATGGCTTCCAGACCGGGACGTTTTGTCTAGCGTATCTGGATACGTGCATCATATGCTCACTTGTGGGTGTATAGGGTGCCGTGGTTGTAATCCCTTCCCACGTAAAACAAGTTCGGAGGGATCCAATTCATACACTGTCCCTATCTACTATCTAGCGAAACCACAGCCAAGGGAACGGGCTTGGAATAATTAGCGGGGAAAGAAGACCCTTTTGAGCTTGACTCTAATCTGGTAGTGTAAGGAGACATAAGAGGTGTAGAATAAGTGGGAGATATTAGACCTCGGTTTGGTATCGTCAATGAAACACCACTACTCTTATTTTTTCCTTACTTACTTGATTAAATGGAATATCATTTCCTAGCCATTATACGGATATATTTATTATATCTTATGGTATTGGCTTTTGATGCATGCTTCTTGATCAAAGTATCACGAGTTTGTTATATAATCGCAAACAAATTCTTTAATAAAACGATGCATTTATGCATTTTTGATTTGAAAATTTGGTATAACTCTAATTACTCAGGTATGATCCAATTCAAGGACATTGCCAGGTAGGGAGTTTGACTGGGGCGGTACATCTCTCAAATAATAACGGAGGTGTCCCAATGCCAGCTAGCAATTGGGTGTACCTACTTTTATGGCTCTCTCAGTCGCTTCCCGAGAAACCAAAGCTTTTGGCATCCGGGGGAAGTATGGTTGCAAAGCTGAAACTTAAAGGGCACCACCGGCTTAATTTGACTCAACACGGAAAAACTTACCAAGTGCGAACATAAGTGTGTAAGACAGATTGATAGCTCTTTCTCGAATCTATGGGTGGTGGTGCATGGCCGTTCTTAGTTCGTGGAGTGATTTGTCTGGTTAATTCCGATAACGAACGAGGCTCAAATATATTAAATAGATATCTTCAGGATTATGGTGCTGAAGCTTATATAGCCTTCATTCATGGTGGTAGTAAAATGTTTATTGTGTTTGAATATGTTTATGTAAGTGGAGCTACAATAAAAGTATCAACGTGTATTTCCTAGACCGATAGGACCGGGTAAACCGCTCAACCACTTTCATGCTTGGGATTGTGAACTGAAACTGTTCACATGAACTTGGAATTCCCAGTAAGTGTGAGTCATTAGCTCGCATTGATCCCTGCCATTTGTACGCACCGCCCGTCGCTACTACCGATTGAATTATTTAGTGAGGTCTCCGAACGTGATCACTGTGACGCCTTGCGTGTTACGGTTGTTTCGCAAAAGTTGACCGAACTTGATTATTTAGAGGAATTAAAAGTCGTAACAAGGTTTCCGTAGGTGAACCTGCGGAAGGATCATTATTGTATAAAATCCTTACCGTTAATAAAAATTTGTTATAATACAAATACATTTTAAATTTACCAAAATTACCAAATTACAAAAGCAAAGCGCATGATATGATATGATTATAGAACAAAACGATTCGATTGAATCAAAATACAAAAATATATATATAAATAAATATTAAAATAAATGTTAAAATCAAAATAAAATGAAGATGGGTTTTTATTTATATGAGGCTTTGGCAAACTCATAAGATTTTAACATTACAAAATGCTGTGTAATGGCGGGCAAACCAAAAAAAATATTATATATATGTGGCTTTAAAATGTAAAAATAAAACTTAGAGTATTGGAGATCGAAGATATCAAATTCGAAAATGGAAATCGAATTATAACTTTAAAATCTATAATTGTCTCTTATTAATGATTCGGAAATAGAAAAAACTTGGTTATGTTATTATTCTTCGTTGGTTCGTTTAATGGAAAACACTTTGCTACAAGAAATAATGGAAATTTTATAACGAATTTAATAAAATGTTTTTATCATTATATATAAAGAATTAATGGCAAGAAAAAGTTATATACAACCTCAACTCATATGGGAGCATATTAATTAGGGGAGGAAAAGAAACTAACAAGGATTTTCTTAGTAGCGGCGAGCGAAAAGAAAACAGTTTAGCACTAAGTCACTTTGTCTATATGGCAAATGTGAGATGCAGTGTATGGAGCGTCAATATTCTAGTATGAGAAATTAACGATTTAATTAACGTATAAAGTTAATGATTCTAGATGATATTTCCAAAGAGTCGTGTTGCTTGAAAGTGCAGCACTAAGTGGGTGGTAAACTCCATCTAAAACTAAATATAGCCATGAGACCGATAGTAAAGAAGTACCGTGAGGGAAAGTTGAAGAGAACTCTGAATAGATAGTTAAACAGTACGTGAAACTGCTTAGAGGTTAAGCCCGATGAACCTGAATACGATGAATATATGATGAATATGGAAAATTCATCAATAAAATTGTAATATTTAAATATATTATGAGGATAGTGTGCATTTTTTCCATATAAGGACACTGTAATCTATTAGCATATACCAAATGATTAGCATTGATTTTTGTGTTTATTATATGCACTTGTATGATTAACAATGCGAAAGATTCAGGATACATTCGGGACCCGTCTTGAAACTCGGACCAAGGAGTCTAACATATGTGCAAGTTATTAGGATATAAACCTAATAGCGTAATTAATGGGATTAGTTTTCTAACTATTTATAGCTAATTAACACAATCCCGGGGCGTTCTATATAGTTATGTATAATGTATATTTATATTATTTATGCCTCTAACTGGAACGTACCTTGAGCATATATGCTGTGACCCGAAAGATGGTGAACTATACTTGATCAGGTTGAAGTCACGGGAAACCCTGATGGAAGACCGAGACAGTTCTGACGTGCAAATCGATTGTCAGAATTGAGTATAGGGGCGAAAGACCAATCGAACCATCTAGTAGCTGGTTCCTTCCGAAGTTTTCCTCAGGATAGCTGGTGCATTTTAATATTATATAAAATAATCTTATCTGGTAAAGCGAATGATTAGAGGCCTTAGGGTCGAAACGATCTTAACCTATTCTCAAACTTTAAATGGGTAAGAACCTTAACTTTCTTGATATAAAGTTCAAGGTTATGATATAATGTGCCCAGTGGGCCACTTTTGGTAAGCAGAACTGGCGCTGTGGGATGAACCAAACGTAATGTTACGGTGCCCAAATTAACAACTCATGCAGATACCATGAAAGGCGTTGGTTGCTTAAAACAGCAGGACGGTGATCATGGAAGTCGAAATCCGCTAAGGAGTGTGTAACAAATCACCTGCCGAAGCAACTAGCCCTTAAAATGGTTGGCGCTTAAGTTGTATACCTATACATTACCGCTAAATTAGATGATTTATATTACTTGTGATATAAATTTTGAAACTTTAGTGAGTAGGAAGGTACAATGGTAGGCGTATAAGTGTTTGGCGTAAGCCTGCATGGAGCTGCCATTGGTACAGATCTTGGTGGTAGTAGCAAATAATCGAATGAGACCTTGGAGGACTGAAGTGGAGAAGGGTAAAACAAAAATGGCAAATTATATAAACAAAGCGAAAATAATACACTTGAATAATTTTGAACGAAAGGGAATATGGTTCCAATTCCGTAACCTGTTGAGTATCCGTTTGTTATTAAATATGGGCCTCGTGCTCATCCTGGCAACAGGAACGACCATAAAGAAGCCGTCGAGAGATATCGGAAGAGTTTTCTTTTCTGTTTTATAGCCGTACTACCATGGAAGTCTTTCGCAGAGAGATATGGAAGATGGGCTAGAAGAGCATGACATATACTGTTGTGTCGATATTTTCTCCTCGGACCTTGAAAATTTATGGTGGGGACACGCAAACTTCTCAACAGGCCGTACCAATATCCGCAGCTGGTCTCCAAGGTGAAGAGTCTATGTCGATAGAATAAAGTAGGTAAGGGAAGTCGGCAAATTAGTTACTTCTTCCCCGGATAGTTTAGTTACGTAGCCAATTGTGGAGCTTTCTTGCTAAAATTTGTAAGAATACTATTAGGGTTAAACCAATTAGTTCTTATTAATTATAACGATTATCAATTAACAATCAATTCGGAACTGGCACGGACTCCGACTGTCTAATTAAAACAAAGCATTGTGATGGCATTGTGATAGCGGGTGTTGACACAATATGATTTCTGCCCTGAATGTCAAAGTGAAGAAATTCAAGTAAGCGCGGGTCAACGGCTGGAGTAACTATGACTCTCTTAAGGTAGCCAAATGCCTCGTCATCTAATTAGTGACGCGCATGAATGGATTAACGAGATTCCTACTGTCCCTATCTACTTACTGTAAGTGGTGGACGTGTTTTCTACGAGCTCCCATTAATACGGGTATTTTTGGTGTAAATCCGCGTTATGACACCGCCGCACAGGTAGCTGCGAGGAGGCGAATGTCCTCCTGCCATAGACTGATCCTGCTTGGATGTCTATCGGTATGCTGAACAGTGTCCACCGCGGCACTGCAGGTTCTTGCTGGAGCCCCCCCCCCCCCCCCCCCCGCTTGACTTGGCCGCTAAGAAATTAGCGGTCAAATACAAGTTGAAGCGTGGATACCCGCTCCCGGACGTCAACCTTGTCTATCGGGATCCAAATTTTGGTTTCTCGATGATGGCTTGTCGTAGGAGGCGACTAATGCGGCAATAGGTCACTCCGCCCGTGCTTGTCGGCTAGGTAGATCTCGCTCCTCAGCAAGGGGGAGTGCTTGCCCGGCAAGCAAGCACTCGAATTGCTACCGGGGTGGTTGCTATGTACTATGGCTTCCAGACCGGGACGTTTTGTCTAGCGTATCTGGATACATGCATCATATGCTCACTTGTGGGTGTATAGGGTGCCGTGGTTGTAATCCCTTCCCACGTAAAACAAGTTCGGAGGGATCCAATTCATACACTGTCCCTATCTACTATCTAGCGAAACCACAGCCAAGGGAACGGGCTTGGAATAATTAGCGGGGAAAGAAGACCCTTTTGAGCTTGACTCTAATCTGGTAGTGTAAGGAGACATAAGAGGTGTAGAATAAGTGGGAGATATTAGACCTCGGTTTGGTATCGTCAATGAAACACCACTACTCTTATTTTTTCCTTACTTACTTGATTAAATGGAATATCATTTCCTAGCCATTATACGGATATATTTATTATATCTTATGGTATTGGCTTTTGATGCATGCTTCTTGATCAAAGTATCACGAGTTTGTTATATAATCGCAAACAAATTCTTTAATAAAACGATGCATTTATGCATTTTTGATTTGAAAATTTGGTATAACTCTAATTACTCAGGTATGATCCAATTCAAGGACATTGCCAGGTAGGGAGTTTGACTGGGGCGGTACATCTCTCAAATAATAACGGAGGTGTCCCAAGGCCAGCTCAGTGCGGACAGAAACCACACATAGAGCAAAAGGGCAAATTCTGACTTGATCTCGGTGTTTAGTACACACAGGGACAGCAAAAGCTCGGCCTATCGATCTTTTTGGCTTAAAAAGTTTTTAGCAAGAGGTGTCAGAAAAGTTACCATAGGGATAACTGGCTTGTGATCATTGTGAAGCAAAATTCCCCAAGCGTTGGATTGTTCACCCATGCAAGGGAACGTGAGCTGGGTTTAGACCGTCGTGAGACAGGTTAGTTTTACCCTACTAATGACAAAACGTTGTTGCGACAGCATTCCTGCGTAGTACGAGAGGAACCGCAGGTACGGACCAATGGCACAATACTTGTTCGAGCGAACAGTGGTACGACGCTACGTCCTTTGGATTATGCCTGAACGCCTCTAAGGTCGTATCTGTGCTGGACTGCAATGATAAATAAGGGGCAATTTGCATTGTATGGCTTCTAAACCATTTAAAGTTTATAATTTACTTTATAAACGGCAATGGATGTGATGCCAATGTAATTTGTAACATAGTAAATTGGGAGGATCTTCGATCACCTGATGCCGCGCTAGTTACATATAAAAGCATTATTTAGTACAATGACAAAGCCTAGAATCAATTGTAAACGAATTGCTTTTGTAACAGGCAAGGTGTTGTAAGTGGTTGAGCAGCTGCCATACTGCGACCCACTGAAGCTTATCCTTTGCTTGATGATTCGATATAAAATATATAAGTACTCATCATGTACTTATAATGGGAAGCAGCATCCCATCCCACGGCGCCCAGAGTAGCCAAATGCCTCGTCATCAATTTGGTGACGCATATGATATTGTCCCTATCATATTAAAGAAATAAAGAACTTAAAGAAATCAAGTCAATTTGCCAAGACGCATATGATAATGTCCCTATCATATTATAGAACTAAAGAACGTAAAGAAATCAAGTTGCCAAATGCTTTGTCATCAATTTAGCCATTGTCAGTTTTTTGACAACTCTCGTCGAGGGCTGACGTATAAAGTGTTTATTTTCCGAGTGATTTTCGCTGTGAAAAAGTTAACCTGAAATCTTTAAAAATGTACAGACAGTTGGGCCAATTCCTGGAGTGCGTGTGATACACGAACGGAAGTTCATGCAACGTGTCCTTTGGCTGCAGATGGTATTTAACTTATTTGCAAAAGTGCACGTAGCTAGCAAATCAGCTGACTGGTGTCACCAGTCGTCGCCTACTCAGCTGGTGGAACAGCTGTTCCAGTGGTGTGTGTACTGGCTAAACCGAGTCCTATAACCACAACCAGTTTCGACATAGGTGGGGCCTTTACCCCCATATAGTTAAAAATTACTCCGCCAGAGGGCGCCAATCAGTCGCATAAAGCGCCAGCAGGTGGCGCTTTTTGCTCCCCCCTTCTGCGCCTGACAATTACACACACACTCATACAGAAAAGGCAAAAATATTAAAGACAAGTGCTACTGCACGCAGTTCCCATTGGCAAAAACGCTATAGAAGTGGATAATGTGGCTTTGCCCACTTCTAAGAAAAATGGTTGGCAAACGCTGGTGCCTAAGAAGAATGCAGGCAAGCGCAAGGAGCCACCTATCGTAGCCACGACTGTAAACCCTAAAGTTCCCAAGGTACTAAAACACATAAAGAAGACGTCGGCCACTGGCAGCTCCAGCTCCAGTGAAAGTGAATCTGACAATGAATCCGAGGAACCAGGTGAGGTACGACAGTTCGCCGTGCCCCAAAAGAAAAAGACAGCTAAGCTGGCCAAAGTCAATGAGGTCAGCGATGCTGAGGAGCTGCTGTCAAACACCAACGGATTCGCTCCACTGCCTATCGAAGAGAACGTTGTTACCAAGGAACCACCTATACCAGTGGAGGCCGCTGTACCCAAGCCCCCTCCAATCATAATACCTGGGGTGCATAGCATTGCAGACATGATAGCTGACCTTGGAGAAGTCACCAAGCCAGGTAGCTTCGCTTACAAGGCTACCAGAGGAGGTAACGTAAGAATTATGCCGAAAGACAGCTCGACATATCGGAAAATTTTTAACCACATGGACAACCACAACATGGCCTTCAGGACTTTCCAGCTCAAGGAAAACCGAACTTTTCGCGTGGTAATTAAGGGGCTACATTCAACAACGCCAGTTAACTACATAACTGAAGAACTAAAGGGGCTCGGACACATTGTTCGAGACATCAAGAACGCCATCTCAAGAACCACAAAGAACCCTATGGCTATGTTCTTTGTAAACTTGGAGCCTTCAAGCAACAACAAAAAAGTGTTCGAGATTAACAAGCTCTGCCTCGCTGTGGTCTCCACCGAGGAGCCCAGAAAGTTCAATGACCTGGTGTAGTGCTACCGCTGCCAGGCTTACGAGCATACCAAGAGGTACTGCAGACTGCAGTACACTTCCGTAAAGTGCGGTCAAGGGCATGCCTCAATCGAGTGCACTAAGGCCAAAGACGCTCCTGCTACATGCGGTAACTGCGGGGAGGCGCACACTGCGTCATACCAAGGCTGCCGTGTATATATCGAGGCCAAGAAGAGGGCTTCCCCCAAGCCAAAAGCGAAGGCAATTACTCCACCGCCGAAAGAGGCCCATACACCACCAGCGACAACCAACAACGCCACATACTCTGGCTTTAGCTACGCTGACGTCACCAGGGGAGGATACCCCCAGAAACAGCAACCCAAACACATCTTCAACCAACAAGCTGTCATTGACCGGGAGGCAGCGTTGGAGGAGAGAATGATGAGGCGCATGGAGAACATGATGGCATCAATGTTCTCCCAGTTTAAAGACGTGGTGATGGCCATGTTCTCCTGCCAGAGAACCATGCCATGAACACACAAATAGTAATCTGGAATGCTAACGGCTTGGCGAAAAACAAGCCAGAAGTGGAGCTCTACCTGAAAACCAACCAGGTGGATGTGATGCTGGTCAGCGAGACCCACTTTACAACGAGGTCTCACTTCAAAATTACTGGCTAACGTCTTGCACCCGGCGGACAGGATCAGAGGTGGAGCCACAGTAATCGTGCGAAGTGGAGTACTGTACGAGGAGATGGATCCGGTGCAGCTGGACTGGATGCAATGCGCCAGGATTCAGCTGCTGACACATTCGGGCAAAATTTATATCGCGGCAGCATACTTGCCTCCGCATTACACAATTAGCCATCCGAGTTGTCATTGCAGCTGAAAAACTTGGGTCCGAAATTTCTTATTGGCGGAGACTGTCAACCCCAAGGGCAGCACTCTGCTGAGGTCGTCAGAGAGTTGGGCTGCAATCTACACACAACGGGAGAGCCGGCATACTGGCCCAGTGACCCTAACAATATACCGGACCTCCTTATCCTAGGCATCAGTAGAGGCATCGACCCGGCGAAAGTATCTACAGTTGGAGTGGAGAGTCTGGCAGTCTAGCAGAGCTCCGTCTGACAAGAGGGCCTACAACAGAGCCTGTAAGCAGCTCAAACAGATGCTTCATGACTCGAGAAGCAAGGCGCTCGAGGAGTACCTAGTAGAACTGGAGCCTGGCAATGCTGAGCACAACATCTGAAACGCCACCAAATACCTGAAAAGGCCTGTGCGGAGGGTGACACCTGTTAAAACAGCTGCAGGTTAATGGTGACGGTCAAGAAAACAGAAAGCGGATGCGTTTGCCGACCATCTGGAAACCAGTTTTCAGCCATTCGCCCTATGTGATGACGAAGACGTTGAAGAGACGAAGCAGTTCGTTGACGCTGCCGGCCCGATGGACCTGCCTATCGCAGAGATAGGTAGTCAGGAGATTCTGGATGAGATTTCGTGCTTGAAGCTCACCAAATCTCCTGGCCATGACAAAATCGACGCATCTGCCCTCAAGCTACTCCCAGCGAACTGCATAGAGTTGCTCAAGGCTCTGATGAATCAATGCTTAAGACTGGGACACTTTCCTTCTCAGTGGAAGTGCGCTGAGGTTATCCTCATTCACAAGCCGGGCAAGCCAGAAGCCAAGCTAGGCTCATACAGGCCCATCAGTCTACTCGCCATCCTGTCAAAAATCCTGAAGAAGCTGTTCCTCAAGAGGTTGCTGACCAGTTCGGTTTCAGGCAAGGACATGGCGCCATTCAGCAGTACCACCGGGTCGTCTCCAAGGTCTTGGATGCCTTCGAAAACAAGAAATATTGCGCAGCAGCCTTTCTGGATGTGAGGCAGGCTTTCGAAAGGGTGTGGCACCTCGGCCTGCTATTCAAGCTGAAGCAACAGTTACCGACCCCATACTACATGTTCCTTAAGGCATACGTCGAAGAGAGGAGGTTTTACGTGAGGAGCAGTAACTCCAAATCACCCCAACACGTGGTGAGAGCCGGAGTACCCCAGGGCAGCGTACTCGGTCCTGTGCTGTACAACATATTCACCTCAGATATGCCAGTATCTGAAGGCAACAGAATATTGACATTCACCTACGCGGACCACACAGAGCTCCTGTGCTCTGACTCAACTCCTACTCTGGCAGCGCAAGGGCTGCAACACGAGCTGGACATGATTCAGTCATGGCTGAAAAGGTGGATCATCACCATAAACGCTGACAAATCCACCTACGTCACATTTACACTCAGACCAGGCAACTGTCCACCCTTCCACATCAACGGCACCATTATTCCGTCCAATGCGAAGGCCAAGTACCTGGGACTAACCTTGGACAAGCGTCTCACATGGAAGGACCACATAGGGGAAAAAGTAAAACTCATGAGGCACAAATGCCGCTATGACATGGCTCCTGGGCAGACGAAGCACGCTACCCACTAATACAAACTACTGCTCTACCAAGCCTTCATAAAGCCGGCTTGGACATATGGCATTGAGTGGGGCCCCCTCCAATTAGCCCCCTCCAATCATAATACCTGGGGTGCACAGCATCGCAGACATGCTAGCTGACCTTGGAGAAGTCACCGAGCCAGGTACCCTTACAAGGCTACCGGAGGAGGTAGCGTAAAAATTATGCCGAAAGACAGCTCGACATATCGGAAAATTGTTAACCACATGGACAACCACAACATGGCCTTCAGGACTTTCCAGCTCAAGGAAAACCGAGCTTTTCGCGTGGTAATTAAGGGGCTACATTCAACAACGCCAGTTGACTACATAACTGAAGAACTAAAGGGGCTCGGACACATTGTTCGAGACATCAAGAACGCCATCTCAAGAACCACAAAGAACCCTATGGCTATGTTCTTTGTAAACTAGGAGCCTTCAAGCAACAAGAAAAAGGCTCTGCCACGCTGTGGTCTCCACCGAGGAGCCCAGAAAGTTCAATGACCTGGTGCAGTGCTACCGCTGCCAGGCTTTCGGGCATACCAAGAGGTACTGCAGACTGCAGTACACTTCCGTAAAGTGCGCTCCTGCCACATGCGGTAACTGCGGGGAGGCGCACACTGCGTCATACCAAGGCTGCCGTGTATATATATTGTATATAAGGTTGGCCACACCCACACCTCGTACCCACTGTTCGAGACTCCAAGTGGCCCGCAGGGACAATCAGCTATGGTCGACTGAACTGGTGTCGATGGTATCGGAGAAAAGGAGGTTGAGGAGAGTCTTTACTTCCGTAAAGTGCGGTCAAGGGCATGCCTCAATCGAGTGCACTAAAGCCAAAGGCGCTCCTGCTACATGCGGTAACTGCGGGGAGGCGCACACTGCGTCATACCAAGGCTGCCGTGTATATATCGAGG